TAATTCTAACCATATGTTATATATACACTGCCATAAATTATGACTTATAAAATAGCAGAGTGGGAGAGGAGGTGCATGCACGTGCATATATGCACACACACACATACATTTATATATACCTATGTGTGTGTTTGTCTGGTGTTGATTCTTTGTCATGTGTCAGGATAGAAATAACTGAGAGAACAGGGTGGAAGAGGTTGAAAGGTTTGTTTTCTACCTTCCATTTTATCTTTGAAATAACAGCAATGTCAAGTCTCAGCAGCTCTGGTTCTGCGGGTGCTCTCCTGAGAGACAAGAACTGGTAGTTTTCTTACTCTTCAGTTTGAGAGAGCTGTGTTTCTCTCTATGTTGTAAGGGATGGAGTGGAATTTGCAGAAATTGCTTTTTTTTTTCTTTTTTTTTCCCCCAAATCTGTTGACAGTTTGCACTGCAGAGATGTCAGCAGAAGGAAAAGAGTTAAGTATGGAGCTTAAGTGATCTTTCTCAGATCAATTCCTCTTTCCTGTACTCAGCTCCCAGTAATTCTGGAATTGCACACATCTTCTATTTTTCAAGAGATAGGAAAAAGAAGTTTCAGACCTGCTAGTACCACTACACAAGCCTTGCTGGTCTCCCCTCCATCCAAAACCAATCCAAACCCATAAACCTCCTTCCAATCCTTCAACCTCTTTATTTATAATAAGTAAGAAAAAATGGATAATTTATGATTATAAATTAAAGAGACCACTTTTAATATCAGACCATATGCAGAATTTTATTGTAATGTTAATGTAGTCAGAATTTACCTATGAATTTGATTCTAATGCCTGTTTCTGTAGAATAAGTGTTTGAAAGGTGAGTTTTAGCAGGCCTAGCCTTCTTGAGTCTGCAGTAATACTTAAACGGTGACCTCAAAGCTCCTTTTCTTCATCTTGTTAACAGTGTTGGCCTTGAGTTGATCATTTGTATTGAAATACTGTGATGTGAGTCTTTCAAAAGAATGGTCCATAGAAACAATGTCCAAATTGTTCAGGTTTTAATGGGGTTATTTGAATTCCTGTAGCACTTATTTGCCTGGGAAAACCCAGTTGTGCTATAGGTTATCTGCCCCAAAGATGATAAATCCGTGTAAATAATTAAATGACCCTAATGTTTATTCTCTAGGGTGAGAAAAGAGAACAAAAAATCACAGAGAGGTTAGAAATTAGATCTCTAGGAAGGAAAAAAAGGATTAGCTATGCGCTCTAGTAATGATAGTAGTAAGGCAATAAAGACACTGTGGAACAAGGCTAAAACTTGTTTTAGAGATAAGTAGATGAATTAAAAGGAATTTGAGTTTGGATAAACCATTCAATATCGACACTCAGAATACAGATATTTCTCTGAAACAAATCTAATAGGTCAGGAGGGTGATGGGGCTTGTTCTCTGCTAGAAGGACTATAGAGGCTGGGTTGAAGTCACAGGAAGGCTTAGTGAGGCAGCGCCTTGCGTGCTTGTGGCTGTGGATGGAGAAGGATTGGGTTACAAGGACCTTGCACTGGTTTTTGTCCACCTCTGCTTGAGATGTTGTATGGAGAGCACAGGCTCAGAGTGCAGCCTCTCCACCGTCTGCTTTATTTGGCTTTTGAAGTTATGGATTGAAAACATGCAGTTACTTTCATGAATCATTCTAGATAAGCAAGGGAGGCAGAGACTGGAGAAATCTTCATTTTTTGGCCTTAGAAAGAAGTCCTTAGACTTAGAAAGAAGTCCTCCTTAAATTCTGGCAAACTGCCAGGGAGTTCATTTAATTCCTCCAGCCAATATCCTTTGTGGAAGTAACTTTAAATGCCTTTTTGCTTTTTTAAGCCTGAAGAAACAGCTTTTAGTAACTCTTAGTCTGGGCTTGTTTTGAACAATTATGTCTTTGTGCAAGTATTGTGGACTTTTAAAAACACTTTTTATGTTCCCTTCATACCAATTTAAGATGTTTTCTTTAAATAAAATTCAGGTCACCTCTGTGTGATGCAATGTAAGATTTATATTCTGTGATTTCATGACAGAGAATACCTTTAATAGTTCCAAACCTAGTCTAATTCTATATGGATATGCTAGAATCTTTCAAATTAGTATTGTTTCCAACCTAACACTAAATTACACGGATCTTTATATTCTAGTATTCCAAATTCCAAACACTCATGAACTGCTGACGTTCATTCCTAATACTGTACATTTAAAAGGATTTTAGTCTCTTAGTTTGAATGTACTGGTCTAATTAAATTGTGGCAATTCAATGTCCGACACTACTGCGGTTAATAAGGCATATCGGAGTCTAAAAAGAGATTATAAAATCTACTGCCTGTACCATTCCTCTGGATACTTCCTTAGATATGTATTTCATCTCGGTTTCACAGCTACCTATAAGAACCAATATATATATATTTAATTACAAATTAATATTTACATTCTGAATCTAACTAACCAGTCAGAAAATTCTTAATTACAGATATGCACTTGAAGGATTGTTTTTTAAATCCACTATTTTCTGAACTGAGGAAATGCTTCAAAATCTTTTTCTAGAGGTTTCAATTTCTAGCTACCCTGGTCAATAAATGCAATCTTCAACATTGCAGAATGGTATTAACCCAAACTCCCCAATGCTTTCTCCCATATACTTGGGAGCTTGAAGTTATTTTATCAAATAGAATAATTTCAGAACCCTTAGGTGAATTACAGAATGCCTCAGAACACTGACCAACTAGTGGCCTTGCTGGGTAATGCATTATGTCAACATTAAACGATGACCTAGTTCAATTATTTCCTTGCTACTGGCAGGTTAGTACAGTGGGCTATGTATGTACACAGGCAAATTTACCAAAATATATTTAAAGATTTTATAAGGGATGTTTTGATACTCACAATAATAATTTTTCTTGACATATTAATTTCACATGTCCTTATTTATTTTTTCATTGGCAAATTCATCTGCCAGTCACTCATGCCTGTGTGCCAAGCTTACACACCAGCTTTCACCTAGTTCCTTAATCCTACATTTTCATTTAAGAAGAGATGCTTTTGCTGTATTATGCTGTATTTGCTCTCTTAAATAAAATAGAATCCCTGTCTGAGAAGCAGAAAATAAAATCTAGAACATGTAATCTTTGTGCAAGAGAAAGGAAGACATTGGCTATGCAGAAGAGTGTACCAGCTCTTCTAATCAGTCTGTGCGCAGAATCGCAACAAGGGTGATATGTAATTGAGTAAAGCAGGTCAATTAGTGCACTATATAGTGTCTTATTTATGAGAGGTTCCACCCTGGGAAAGAATTTGAGAACCTTTGTTCTAGATACAAGCACTTGTATTACAAATTCTAAAGCAGCTTTCCCTCCTTGTGCTGAAAAAGGCCAGGTAGTGTACTTCTAAATAGGCATTTCTCCTTAACTCACTGAACAACCTCTCATATTTTGCAATTGAAAAAAAAAGAAAGAAAAAAATATGAGGCTACAGGGCACTGACCAGTAGGATAAAGGTCTTACAAAGCATCAAGCATGTGGGTACGAGACAAACACATTGCATACAAATGAACTTGCACCACTTAACCTTGTTTGAATGAGATCTGCAACCAGGTATCGTCCTACAATAGAATTTAAGGCCTAACATCCACTTCTAAACATCTCAGACTTGAGGTCAGGCAGGGTCCTGGCTTACACCAGGCTGAATTTCAGCCATAGAATAATGATTTGACACTCAAGAGAAATTGTAGCAGCTGAAGTAAAGGTTCATACTCTATCTAGCACATAGACATTCTAACAAAGAACTGGTTTTGAAGAGGTTAAGTATTATAGCCCAAATAATTTTTGTGTTTCAAATACGCAGAAAATGTGTGCTTACTGGTGTTATTAAAAGACCTTACTCTGTAAGAGAAAAGAGCCCAACAGCGATGGTATGAGTGCACCAAAATGAGGCAAGTCACTGCCTCAGAGGAATAAAATCAATCATTTTCCCTTGAAGAAAGTAGACAGCTGGGGAGCTGGATTCTGCTCACTATATCAAGTATGTATTTAATCTCACTGGACTGCTTAGACTCACATTAATGAATCTATACAAAAACCTCAATAGGTCTTTCTGTCTGGACTGGAGAAGTGAATAAATACTAGCTAAGGTGTAGTATTTGATAAAAGGAAAACAATCACTTTTATACAAACTTGCTTGCAAGATGAAGCAAGTCACTGTTAACAGCTCTGCTCACTATTTTGACTTGGCATCTGTATTTTGTTTAGTCTGAGCTTAATTTTATTGATTGCCTGGTCCTTGGATTCAGCTACTTTGTTTGAAAAACTGATGGCAAGGGATGCAACTGATGGCAGTGGTATGAGGATTAATTCAAATAAATATCATTTATTTAGGCTGCTGTGGTATCAGCAAGCAACAACTTGTTGCTTGAAGACGATCCTGTATTTATATGGGTCTAGGGGCTATGTAAGGTATAGGCACCAAAGAGAACAAATAAGCCCAGCTCCAAGCAGACATTCCCTATACTGAGCTAAAAAGGCTCAATAATTCACTCTAGTTGCACAGCCTGTGCTCAGTTTAGGACTTAGAACTACTGCACTGTTATTAGCAAGAGGGTTGCACAGAGGGGCAAGCTACACACTGAAGCCCAGGAATGTGTGTCATGTTTAGGGACAGGTCAGTCCAGTATAGAAATGCTGGGAGAGGTTGGTTTGCTTATAGGGAAGCACAGGAAGAAAAATCACACAGCTCCAGTTATCACATATTAAATTGTATTACAAAAGGAATGGAGATTGTTGCCTCTGATTTTCCATTGTGTTTATTGCCAACAGATTTAAAATATCAAGGTCAAAAAAAAAAAAAAAAGAGTAATAAATACTTCACTTTAGGCTGTAATAAATAAAAAAATTATTAACAAGGAATGCACTTTTCCAGCCACAAGTGTGGGTAGTTCTTGAAAAATAATGGGGGAGGTGGGAGAGGGGGAGGGAAAAAAAAAAAAAAAAAAAAAAGTATGGCCATAGTTCACAGTTAAGCAGGCAGAGCTGCTTCTTACAGCTATTCCACAACAATGGAGTTTCCCTTCCCTCCCTTTCCAGATGCGTATTCACAGTTTAACTCCATCAGAAATGCTCCCTTACAGGGCAAGCAGTCATACTCTGCTGAGTTTGAGTCAGAAAGATCTTTAACATACACACGAAGCAAGGAAAACTATGGTCCAAAGAACTCCTTCTCACATCCATTTAGTCCAACAGTAGCTTTAGGCTTCTAATAGCAGTGTGCCCAGCACACCATGACAGTCAAGGTTTCGTACCACCACACATCCATCATCAACATACTAGTTGCTCCACCATCTCCACTGTAGCTTTCACAGTGAACAAGAGGGTCCTTTTGGTTTAAACAGAGCCAGTCCCTTCAGTTACATCTCTGCAGCAGCATGTTCAGAGCATATTCCATTCTGTGTTTTAGTTCCAACGAGCATCCAGAAGCCAAAAGAGCGGTCAGATGAAACGTCGTGGATATCCTGTCCTCATTGATGTAGGTAAGAAGGTACTCCTCACTCTGATTGCAAATGATGATTTTTGTATGATCATGGTAGAAGTTGACCTGCAAAGAGAAAAGGGCTCCTGTTTGTATACTTCCTCCTCTCAGTTTCTCATGCTTGTATTTAGGAATTGTAAAGAAAAGGCCCAATCTCATTTTGTTCAGTGTTTTTTCAGAAACACTTTCTCAGATATATGCTATAGGCTTACCTGAAACGTGCCATCATTGAAGAGCATCATTAACGCTTTATCAGATTTAAGCCACTGTAAGAGGTAAAGTCTGGGCCTACGAACATCTGTGAGGCTGGGTAGATCTCCTCCCTAGGAAAGGGAACAGATGCTGTGTTTAGCATTCAGCTAACATTTAGTTCAAGTTCCAGTTCTATACTTCAAAATGCAAACTGTGCTATACTTACATCCATAAGGTTCTCTTCCATGTAGTGAGAGAAATATTTCAGAACTGTTACTTGGCTAATGAACTGCTCGGGAGCATCTGTGGCTGAGAAGACAGAGCACTGGCCTAGCTCAGCATAGTAGTGGACTGTCCTGCAAGGGAAGTAAAAAATAACAGAGTTAGAGGGGAGATTCAAGCATTTCAAGTATAAACTGCCATAGGGCATTATCAGTTCTGTAATAATTCCAAAGTACCTACTTTTTGTCTGGCAGAAGGCTCATGTGTGCCCCGTTGTTGAAGAGGACTCCAACGGTGTGATCCGACAGCTGGTACCCAAAACCGTACTTGTTAGAATAGTCCACCCACTTTGTAACCCACTGGAAGGATGCTGTTAGCTGCTCCTTAGGAATGCTGTCTGCTTCTGGCATGTTCTCTAGGCATCCTCGCAATACCCTTGCCACAGTATCAGCAACACTCCCCATGGTACTGTCTTCCAGGCCTGAAAGAAAAGTATGGTTAGATGGGCCAGACCACAGAAAGACAGCAGGAGCTCACTCTAAACCTTTTTCTTAAAAGTGCAAATTAGTTATGTAGCTTTGATGGCTTTCCAGTTTTAGCTCTTCTAAAATCCTGGTCATGGAACTTAAGAGTATCCACATGGCAAGAGAAAGTACTTGCTTGTTTCATGCTTCTACATCTGACACATGAAAAATGTTAAAAGTGAGGTTTAGGATTAGAGATGGTATGGTAAATTGTTGCACTTACATTCACTGCTACTGCTGCAGCTTCCTAAAGCTCCTCTGACTATCATCCGAATGGCATCTCCAGTCTGCTTTGTTTCTGATAACATCCCTGGCTTGGCTACTGTTGTGGTAAGAGGCTGGTTCTCCTAGAAGGGACATCAAAAAAGTAAGTATCAAATACAACAAACCAAGGCTTATATAAAGTTTTGTATGCCTCTCCTGGCTATCAACAACTGCTAAATTAAAGAACAAAATAGTGTTTCCCAGGAAGTAAAGAGCTGCTGCTAGGCTAAGCTTAGAAAGATGCCACATCTTTCTACTGCTTAGATCCTCAATTTGCATCTAGTATGCATTAAATTCTATCTTTACCCTAGAGAAGGAATAGCTGTGTGCAGGCCTGCACACAAGCATTAGATCTCAGCAATTTATTCATAAAGAAGTTGTATTTGATCATGAGCTGGAGCCTTGTGTTGGGAATATAGGGAGAGAACATCCAGCAAAGGAGTTTCCATACAGATGACAATGGCTTTTAGGGAGATACTATAATTACTCCAAAGTCAAAATTGATAGTCTTCCTACAGAGGCTACCATATTTTGCTGAAGCTCAGTTAAGCTCTCTTAAAAGCTACTCTGCTAATCACTTGAGCTTGATTATGCTGTGTACAATCCAGCTGGGCTACCAAGTCAAATATAATTTAATTATAGCTACCCCACCCCACTGTTCTTGGATTTGAATCGAACTACAGTTGCATTTACCTCATCTGTTCGGTGTTTGTGAGGCTGTGGGGTTATCGAAGTCTTCTTCAAATCATGCCTGAGCTTGTAAATTTCTTCATCTTCTTTAGCTAGTCTATCTGCAATAAAGGTGAAAAAAGTACTTAATGCTGCATCTGGAAGCACTGTAAGATCCTGCATTACAGCAAGCCTAACAAGTTGGCTACAAAGTACAGCATCCAGAATCCCAAAAACATAACAGACTAGTAGAAGGCCACTAGAGCTTCAAGCTTGCCCATATGCCATGAGAAGTATTCCTTTAGGTATGCTGATGTAGGTTGTAGGCTACCACCTACCATCTTAAAGAAAGCTTCAAAATATAAATACAACTGCTCTGTTGCTATCTCACTGCTGTACATTACTAGTTATGACAAATACAGCATAAGTGTAGTTACAGTCTACTTACTGTGTGTGTCAAAGTATCTTGCTTTATCCTTTTTACCACCAAAGAGAGCAGCAGCTGCCTTTTTGAAGAAATTTTTAGCAGGACTTGACAAATGGAAATCAGGAACAGTGTGACAACAGCTAGCAGAGAGTCTGTCTGGTGTAAAGCCCTGTGAAAATGAGAATCAAAGATTAAATTTTAGACCACAGGGTGCATTTTGAGTAGATTTTTTCCCCCAGACAGTATACCAGACAGTACAAACCTGTAAGAAAAAGTCATGTCGAATTATATCATCTAAACTGGGTCTGTCTTCAGGATTTTTTGACAGCATGCTAGCTATCAAGTGTTTTGCAGGTGCAAGGAGAGATGAAGGCAGACTATATCTTGCTTCCCTTATACATCTGTAGGTTTCTTTGAGATTTGTAGTCTCAAATGGAGGTCTTCCCAACAGCATTGTATACCTATTTGAAAAGGGAGGAAACATTCTATTCACTTTATTGGCTTTACGCATCCACAACACTTAACTATAACTGCCAAACTACCAAAAAGGTTTATCCATCTCCTAAAAAGGAGAATTCCTGTAGTTGGGTTACTCATATTTAAAAGGCTGCAAACCAATGCTGTACTGCAGCCCCTTTGAACACTTATAAGTCTAAGCCAGTGAGAACAATATTTCATTTCAGATGTAGCAAAGTACTTACATTACACAGCCTAAGGCCCAAATATCGGATTCACAGCCATGCCCTTGCTTGTTGAGGACTTCTGGAGAGAGGTAATTCGGTGTGCCACATATTGTTCTGAAAATCAAAAAGGCACTGCTTACTATCCCAGCAAGAGAGGAGAGGTCCTGTTTTTCCATAGGGCAGGTTTTACTCTCTATTAAGAGAAAGAGCTCAGAGACACCCAAAAATAAGTTCTAGGAATGCCAATAGTGCAACCACGTTTCATGGTGTCTTCCTGATAGTGCAGATATGAGTCTGCTCCTGCAGTATTAGTCAGTTGGATACCCTGCCTCTGGCGTTGGCTGCTGTCCAACAGCTCAGAGGAAAGCTAAAGCACAAAGCACACTGAGCTCTTCTCTAGGAGGGGAAATTCTGATCCCGAGAGCAACTTGCTTTTGCCCTGGGACAGGATCTCCCTCTCCCCTTTCTAGATCAATTTGGTCTCATTTACTACCAGCCTGTACATGTTTTTGATGCTCCTACCTCCTCCGGTGCTCCAGTGGTTCCAGTCTAGCTGCCAAGCCAAAGTCACCTAGTTTCAGTTCCATGTTCTCATTAATGAAAAAGTTACCTAGTAAAAAGAAATGCCAGTTTTCTTACAGGGCAAGGAAGCCTCCACCACAGGTGCTGAGTCATACTTTGCTCAAAGCCAGGACCTAGCCAGGACTTTTTTAATTAAATAAACAGGAATATTTAATGTCATCCCTTAGCAGACCAGTTTTCCACAATAAAGAGAGACTGAGCCGATTCTGTCAATTAAGGTATCACCCTACCAGGGTGAAGCAGTACAAAGCAGACAGGGCTGGAAGGGTATCTTCTGAAGACAGAGGGGAGTGAACTTACCTAGTTTAAGGTCCCTGTGCAAGATTTCCTGTTCATGAAGATACTTGAGCCCTGACACAATCTGCCTGAGGTAGTATCGCACTTCTGGTTCCGTCAATACCTTCCTGGCTTTTAGGATGTGAGCCATTGACTGCAGGGGGAAAACAAAGACACTAATTCAGTGAACATTCACAGGCACAATTCACCTTAAGCAAAAGCAAATCAATGCATGGAGAAGATATAACTAAAGAAGCAACAAAAATACCTTTTACACATTACATATTTAAATTAGCTCCAGAGGCGAGGTAAGTAAATACTGGATTTCTCCCAGTTGATGCTCACCCTTCTACTGCAGTACTCCAGAAGAATGTAAATATTCTCTCTGTCTTCAAAGTAGTGATAAAACTGCACGACATGCCTATGATTAAGCATTCTGTGCAGCTCAATCTCTTTATCAATCTGAAAATAGACAAGGGAGAAAGCACCGTTAGCCTTGGGTCCACAAGGCCAAGCAGCCAGGTCTACCACAGCAATCGTGGCAAAAGGGCCAGGCGACCCAGCACACAAAGGGGCAGGGAATTAAAAAAAAAAAAAAAAAAAAAAAAAGGGGGGGGG